CCCTCATCATTGTTAAAGTTTATTGCACGGTCACGATTGTTCGGTAGTGTTTTATTTTTCATTTTGTTTTTCAAAAATAAGAATGACCTAAAATTTGGAGCGTGTGTTCATCAAAAATAAGAAAATCTATAAAAAAAAATATCAAAAAAATATTAGACATGAAAAAATTGATCAAAATACCCTCAAAACATTTCGAGGATATTTTGGTCAATATTGTTTTACGAATTATTATTTTTTATGTTTTTATTAGGTGGGCCGCACTGAGATGTACATACACTCCAAATTCAGGTAACTCCGATTTATAAAAAAAAATTGAAAAATAAAACACTACCGAACAATCGTGACCGTGTGATGAACTTTGGATGATGATGAGGGTAGGTAAAATCACTGTTCATTTTCGCCTATAAGCGTTGGATAGACTTTTCTTTTATATATATATATATATATATATATATATATATATATATTCCCCTATAACTAATAATAACTAAAACAAATATGTAGGACATGAGCGTAAAATATGAAATATTAAAAATAATATTAAAATTCCACCAATGATATTTATGTAAATTTCTCTTAAATTAAAATACATTTATAAGTGGAAATAGATTGTATAAGGAAAAAGTTTATATAAGGATGCCACCTTATAATGTAGAACTACATATGCCTTTCAAAAATCCTTCGAAAAAGGTAGTTTTAATGTTGAAAAACCTTTTGATTGATCATCTCGACATCGAGATGTATGACTATAAAAAATAAAAAGATTTTAAGTTTCAGAAATAGTGCATTTTACAATATATTATCAACACCCTCCATTTTCAAGATTTTCATATGTTTATGGATCTACTTGATTTTAACCATTTTTAAAATTTAAACTTTTATAATTAGGTACAAAAATAGATTTTGAGATAATTCTAAAACCATTTTACATCAAAATTTTATACCATGATAAAATTTGAAGGTTTACCTCTACACCTACGGATGCATCAGTATGCAAATTGCACCCTATATGTAAATGGGTCTATTTTCAAGTTTTGAAAATAAAATAAGATTTTTTTAAATTTCGTTTAATTTTAAAGCCAAAATATATTATAGTCCTGCTGGAGTATGTTGTCGATTTAGTCCCTCAGGTCAACCCCACCTAAAATTAATTTTAAAATCCTAAATTTTTTGGATATAACCTCTTAAACCCATAGATTAAGGATGCTGCTTTATAGTGTAGAACTACAGATGCCTTTCAAAAATCCTTCGAAAAAGGAAGTTTTAATGTTGAAAAACCCTTTGATTGATCATCTCGACATAGAGATATATGACTATAAAAAATAAAAAGATTTTAAGTTTCAGAAATAGTGCATTTTACAACATATTATCTACACCCTCCATTTTCAAGATTTTCATATGTTTATGGATCTACTTGATTTTAACTATTTTTAAAATTTAAACTTTTATAATTAGGTATGAAAATAGATTTTGAGATAATTCTAAAAACATTTTACATCAAAATTTTATACCATGATAAAATTTGAAGGTTTGCCTCTACACCTACGGATGCATCGGTATGCAAACTGCACCCTATATGTAAATGGGTCTATTTTCAATTTTTGAAAATAAATTAAGATTTTTTTAAATTTCGCCTAATTTTAAAGTCAAAAGATATTTATAGTCCTACTGGAGTATGTTGTCGATTTAATCCCTCAGGTAAACCCCACCTAAAATTAATTTTAAAACCCTAAATTTTTTAGATATAATCTCTTAAACCCATAAATTAACTTCAATAAAAAATAAAAAATAAAAAAAATTGTCTGCACTTGAAAAAAATGGTATCTTGAGCTTGAATAAAGACCATCCAAGGTTTAGATGATAAGATCTAAGTATCATAAAATTCAAATTTAATTTTTTTTTTCTTTTGAGAATAATCATCTAGTGTTATTATTAAAAAAAGAGTGATGATTCTATGAGACCTTACCACATAGATGTGTGTAGGACTCCAAATGATCACCATTAAATTTAGCACATCTAAAAAGATCAAGTCCCACAGGCATGTGATAATTTTACTACAGATCTGTACTAAATTTAATAGTGATCCTTTGAAGTTCAATTATATATATGGGTGTAGTAGGATCTCATATGATCATTACTCTTAAAAAAAACCTCCCCATTAGGGTTTTTGGACGAGGGAGTAGAAATAAACTATACTCCCGCGGGTACATAGTATACGCCCTCAATTTTTGATATAAACTATAGTATAATTTGGCAATGTAGCCGCACCGTTTACAGTGTCAGCGTCACGTTTGAGGAGTTGACGTGTAAGCAAGGAGTATCCTCTTGGAAATATTTCCTAACAAATAAATGATAGATTAGGAGGCGTAGTATTATTTATTTAATAAAAATGATGTCATCATTTTATAAAGAATTTTTCCACCGAAAGCCAACCCGGCTTTGGAATTTAAGATGCCCATGATGGCCCTCCTAATTCTCACTCCCTGTGAAAGTCCATAACATGCAATTTTAGGTAGGGGTTTGCAGTGGACCGCCCCACCTGACCCGGATCTAAAAATTAGGATTTCGGTCAAGACAAGAGCAGTCCGGTGCAGTTCAACCCAGGTCTTATTTTTTTTATTTTTAATTTATTTTCTTTTAATTTTACCCGGAGTGATAAAGCCAAAGAGGACCGCACCTAAGCCAGCTTAAGGGAAATGATGACCGGCATGGACTAGCCCAGGCCGGTCCGTTCCCAGCCTTAATTTTGGTTGATCTCTCTCTGTGGAGTGTGATCTCTCTCTCTAAATTAACAAAATTTTGCTTGTGCAGCTTCCAAGCTTCATCCATGGCAAGACCCAGGCCACACGTGTAGACACAAGGAATATCTCGGTTCTCCAAACCCTTGCATCACCTCTCATCTCCACATGTATCTGACTTCTCTAATCCTTCCAAATAAGCAATAAGTAATAAACAAATGAATATCATATTCACTCACCATATATTAAATACTATATGAGAGTAAAAAATAAGTGGAGATGACACTTAAATTAATCAGCTCCTTGCAGGCGATCTATAGTATGACTATGCTTGCACATGACCATTTCTCTCTCTAAATAAGATTGCACCTAATAAATTAATATATCAAACCAGAAGCTGTAAAAATAGTCGATGAAAGAGGAGAAAAAAATAAGAGAAAACATGCAGATGAGCCATAAACAAAACCATTTTTTGTTTGGGGAGATCTAGAGCAACATTAAGCATGCACATGACTCTTCACAGTGAAGAGAAAACCCATGTTTACCCACTCTCTCTCTCTCTCTCTCTCTCTCTCTCCAACTTTTCAGCGTTCTGTGAAGAAACATTAAAAGATTTTCCTAGGAAAGAAAGGCAGGGGCATGGCTTTTAAGTACAGGACTGTCAACATCGCTCACACCTCGGAAACATGGAAACTGATCTCCCAAAATTAATTAATGAGATTTACAGGGTGGTGGATTATATGAAGACTGCAAATGTAGAGAGAGAAAGTATAAGAAAAAGTGCCATGGCGGTGATTGGAAGAAGGGGAATTTCCAAGGCCCTTGTTGGGGTTTTCTTCAATGCAAGAAGCGCAATTTGAATTGGGGGTGGCCTCTTTCGCTCTCCTCCATGGTTTTTTTTTCTCTCTCCTCAATGGCTTTTGCAGCTTACTTGCAAATAGTAAAGTCTGTTAGAGATGAGAAATGATCAAAGGTAGCCACTTTCCCTCACCTCAAATCTTCTCTTGCTTCTCTTGTGTGGTCGTCTCTTTCTCTTGTTTCACTTTGTTTTAGCCTCGTTTTTTTCTTTTTTTTTCAAATTGAGAACTCCTTACTCAATCTATTCCCTTGTTTTATTGGCATTTCCCTTTGATTACCACATAAACATGGACTCTTTTTCGTCCTGTCTCATTCAATTTTCCCCCATTTAATGGTTAGAAATTACTTCAAATTGGGGTGATTTTCATTTGATTTCTCTTTCATTGGTTATTTTATGATCTCCTCTTCATAATTCCAAGTTATAAACCTCATGATTTTACACAACCAAATTCTTTAGCATTAGTTGACATGAACAAGGAGCTAGAAAATCTTATTTTCAATGATACTCCAAATGCACATTTTTCACAGATTTTGTCAGATAAAGGCCTCATGATCTTAGTTAAACAAGATTTGTTTTTGAGCTGTATTTCCTCAAAGGATTAATGACCATTTTTCTTTGAGTTTTTGAGCTATACTCTCAATAAGATATGAGTGCATTAAGACCAGACCATGAGATTAAGAGAATGAGAGGGTTTCAAGGGAAAAAAGGGGAAGAAGAAGAAGAAGAGACAGAAAATGAATGTGTTAAATGCTCTGGTTCTTCTTGTGGGTCATGCACAGCAGGCATAGTTGTGGACTGTGTGGCCATCTGTTGCTGCCCTTGCTCAGTCATTGACATTCTCTTTTTGGCTCTTGTCAAGGTTCCATGGATGGTTGGGGCGAAATCCTTGAGGTTTTTGAAGAGGAAGATTTGCAAAAGAAAAGGGGATTTGGGGATGAGAGAAAGAGAATTAAAGCAAAGGATTAGTTTCAGTGATGAGATTTCAACAGAGGTTTCAGAGTCTGGTGAGAGTGGGGAGAGGCTTTGTCCATGGTTTGAGGCTGAGAAGGTGTTGATGGAGTTGGTAGACGTTGGTCATTTGGGATTTGGTAGGGTCTCTTTTAAGGAATTGAGGCAATGACAAGAACAAGTCAAAGTTGTCTCTATCTTGTGATGCCTTTGCCTTTAAAATTCTTTTTTTTGTTATTTTAAGTGGAATGGTGAATACGTTTTTGTATTTTTAGTGCTTAATGTGTCCATGAATATCGTTGATATGTGGAGGCAATCTTATCTTCATAGATTGAATCTTTGAACATTCATCATGTTTCGAGTCCTAGCCTAAGAAGGTTGTTAGTTAATCAAACTAGGGGCGGCAATGGGTCGGGTCGGATCCGAGGATATGGAACCGGGACCCCAATTCTTCCGACCTGGATCTAAAAACATCAAATTTTTGGACCCAGATCGGGTCCATCCCTAGGGTCCAGGTCGCGGGTCCGGGTCCATTGCCACCCCTAAATCAACAATGGCTCCATTGGTCCACTCCAAAATATCTCATGCATCCATGGCAGTGTGGTGTCCATTTACTTCATCGGGTAAAACCCCAAGGGGAATTCCTGGGCCACAAGTTTTGTAGATGTAACCTCATCGTAGATTTGCCGAAACAAAGATAAAAAGATCTATGAAGGTTCTTTTGCCTTGTATCTTATTTGGCAAGTGTCCATCGGATATGTGCCATTGTAAAATATGAAGCGTTTGGATATAAACAAGTAGAAATCGAATCCTGATCCCAATTAATTGGGAGATGATAAGTGTAGAAATCGACCTCAATGAAGCTTAACCTAGGACGAGCCATGTGATAAGGTTTGGATACGAGGCAATCTCTCCAAGACCCTCTCTTTCTCTCTACACGAACAAGGGCTTACAATGGATGCTGCAACCATTAAAAAATTGTTTCTAATAAATATTTTATTTTTTCTATTGTTTTGGAAAAGATTAAGAAGTATTTTAGCCATAAATACCTATTTTTACATTTTTCCTTTTTTTTTTTGAATTATTTCTAAAATACCTGGCATAAATTGATTATTCAAAATCCATTTGTCACCATTTTTTAATCGATATATTATGTTTAATTATACTTTAAACATATTTTTCATATTTCTTTTGAGATTTTTGTATTTTTTAAAAATTTGTTTAATCCTTTCTAGCCGGTCATAGACCTGCCCAGTTGGGGCCAACTACTCGGACAAGTTCCAGGTTACCCGGCCCCGGCCCATGGATGGGCTTTGTTTCCACGTTTTCTAACACTGAATGCAACGCAGTATCAGGAAGGCCCTCTCTCTCTCTCTCTCTCTCGATCTCGACATGAACAAGGACTTAACAATTAAAACAAGTGAGTTAAATATTGCTGATCTAAACAATATGGGTATTTTTACTAATGCCGATGTAATTAAGAGTATTTTGGTCATTTGTTCGGGCTACTTGAATGAGGCTAAATTATGAAAATGTTCAGGTTGCCAATCCAGAAACTGAGCAATTTTATCATATTTTTTAAGAGATAAATGAGTGAAATTAACCTTAAGAGCAATAATAATTAATATTGGATTGAATGATTTGAGACTTTTAGATATTGTGTAAGGTAATTTGGCGACCTTTAATTGATACTTTCCCTATTTAAACGTACAAGTAAATATTTTGAAGCTAGATACGCAGGAAATGAGATACTTTCATATCTTGAAAATTGTTACCTTCATTAAAAAATTAAACTCTTATCCGATATTTTATTTTTGTGAAATCTTTATTTTATGTACTTTTATCAAGTTGATATTATCCTCGTAATAATAGTGTTGCACATTCCTCTAGTATCAATAGTTTGGATCCTATAAATTTAGAAGGGAGTATATCATTGAAGGGGTTAAAACTTTAAACCACTTATAAAATCATCGATGAGGTCAAACAGCCCACTTAAAATTAGTTAACATTAAGTGTGTATAGTATGCTCCTGAAAGAACATATTATACACCAACTCCATCAGGTAGAATACCTATGCGGAAGGGTTTTTTTTAATATGAAATTACGGAAGCCACCAAAGGATCACAAGTTGATTATTTTTAAAATATAAAATTTGAATTTTAAGTTTCAAAAGTTAGATCTCACCCCAAATAAATTGGAGCCATTATTTTCTTAAAATACATAGAGCGTTCGAGTTGATTTTATTTTTCTTTTTTATTTTGATATTAGTATATTGATTGAAGAGATTGCATCTCCAAAATTGGGATCCTAAAATCACTCCTACTTTCGCCAATATACTCTCGCAAGAACCTGAAATCTTTTGGCTCGATGGCTTAGTTTTCTTATTTTCAATTCACACAAGTACCTCCTCATAAAGTATCTTATAAATTGCTGAAAATATTTGTGGCTCAAGAGCCATTACTTATTTTGGGTTTTCAAACATGGTTAGGGGTAATATGCTCACTTTTGAAGATATTATTTGAGGTATGTAACGGAATAGAAACCCTCTAATGTTAAAAGGCCAAAAAAAAAAAAAAAGAGTTAAAATAAGGCCAAGGATTTATAAAAAAAACTTTCAAATTAATCTTGATCATGATCATCATGGTTGTGAAAGAAAATTACGATTTTAAACGTTAAAATTAACGTATGTTGTAACCTATCATCTAGACGGTCCGCGTTCACAAGGCCTAAGGCTCATAAAAATTACATCCATCCTTCATGGACGATGGATGAACATGCGCAGAAGTGTAACGTGTAATACACAAATAGAATACACGCATGTACGGCGTCACTCAGTAATTTAAGACTTGAACTTTATTATCTATCGTAACCATACAATAATCCGTTGTAGTCTAGTTGGTTAGGATACTCGGCTCTCACCCGAGAGACCCGGGTTCGATTCCCGGCAACGGAAATTTTTGATAGTTTTTTAATCTTTTTTGTGGTAGTAGTTTTTTTAATCTTTTTGGAAGCAGCAAACGCAGGCAAACGCTAGACTCGGGGAGTGTTCAGTTAATATCTTTTCTGGAAAGACTTAGGTAGGTTTTTTAATCTTACGCTGGACTGGGCGAGCATTCAGTAAGAAAGACAAGATTCCATAAATGATTTATTTTAATTTGTACACTTATTGTCAGTCGGCTGTCACCCGAGAGACCCGGGTTCAAGTCCCGGCAACAGAATCCTTTTTTGTTTTTTCGCTTTACTACACTCTTCTCTTATCTTTTCAAAAAAAAAAGATTTGTTTTTTTTTTTTTGCTTTTTACACTAGACTCTTCCCTTATATTTTTAACAAAAAAAAAAATAGTCGCTTTTGCACTACAATTTTCTCTGATCTTTTCCCAATAAATTTACACTACACTCTTCTCTTAAAAAAAATATATTAGGGCCTGTTCGATAACATGGAGCAAGAACATGAATTGGAAATTAGAAGTTACTGAAGAACTCTAAATCAGAAGTTACTTAAGAAGTTAATAGTTTCTTTGTTTGATAACCTTCCTGGGAAGTTAATACGTTCATAGTTTCTGTGTTTGATAACTCTTGGGATATATGGTAAATATCTTATATTTATATTTACATAGCTAATAATTTAAATAGAAATATATAATATGTATAACATACTATAATATATGATATACTATATTTTATATTTATTTTAAATATATAT